GACGTTAATGACAATGCCCCTGAGATTGAAGTGACGTCATTTTCCAGTTCCATTACTGAAGATTCCATACCTGGGACTACAGTTGCTCTTATCAGTGTGAATGACTTGGATTCTGGTCTCAATGGGAAAGTGATTTGCTCCATAAGTGAGGATGTTCCTTTTGCTTTGTCGCCATCATCACAAGACAAAATGTATTCTTTAGTGACCAAAGCGTCTTTAGACAGAGAGAAAATGTCCAAATATGACATATCAGTAGTTGCAAGAGATGCTGGTCAACCTGCACGCTCAACTGAAAAGACAATTAATGTTCTCATTTCAGATGTGAATGATAACAGTCCAGAGTTTTTATCCAGTCCTTACACTTTTTATGTTACCGAGGGCAACAATGCAGGGGCCCCCATCTTTTCTGTTAAAGCTTTTGATCGTGATGACAATGAGAATGCTAAAATTTCATATCATATTGTTAGATATGGAAAAGATGACAACAAACTGTCGTCATTTCTCAGTATAAATAGTGAAAATGGACAAATATCAGCTTTAAAAAGTTTTGACTTTGAGACGGTAAAAAGTTTCCAATTCCAAGTGGTGGCCACCGATGGTGGAAGTCCTCCACTGAGCAGCAACGTGACAGTGAAGGTGTTCATTCTGGATCAGAACGACAACGCTCCAGTCATCCTGTATCCAGTCAGTTCCAACGGTTCTGCCGAAGGGGTGGAGGAAATTCCCCGCAACCTGAAAGCAGGAGACTTGGTGACTAAAGTCCGAGCCTTTGACGCCGATATCGGATATAACGGCTGGCTGCTGTTTTTGCTGCAGCTAGTGAGTGACCACAGTCTGTTTACTTTGGACCGCTACACGGGCCAGATCCGAACACTTCGCTCCTTCACGGAGACGGATGAGGCTGAGCATCGACTGCTCATCCTGGTCAAAGACAACGGCAACGTTTCACTCTCGGCAACAGCTACTGTGACCGTCAAACTCGTGGAGCCCAAAGAAGCTTTTGCGGCTTCTGACACCAAAAGTGCAGCCAAGGTGGACGAGGAGGACAATGTGACTTTTTATCTCATCGTCACTTTGGGCTCGGTGTCCCTCCTTTTTGTCATCAGCATCATCGTGCTGATCGCCATGCAGTGCTCCAAATCCACAGAGTACACTTCCAAATATCTGCAAGACGCCAATTATGATGGCACGCTGTGTCACAGCATCCAGTACAGATCAGGAGACAAGCGCTACATGCTAGTCGGACCCAGAATGAGTATCGGTTCGACCGTAGTCCCGGGCAGCCACGCCAACACTTTGGTGCTCCCTGACAGGAGACACACTTCGGGGGAGGTAAGACACAATCGATTTGTACCTCTGGGTTTCTCTGAATTGTTACTTTTTTAAAGGAACGTTTTTGTTTGAGTACTTAAGGTAGAGCCAACATTTATAATTCAAATTTAAACTATTCCAAATTAAGGTTTATTTTTTGGAGAGTTAACAGCACTGTGACCAAAATGTTATCAGACAACCAGGCCCAGTAGTTTATAGTAGAGGCAAGATCGGGCCGCCCGAGCCCGACCCGACCCGACCCGAAATTCGGGTCGGGTCCGCTGACTTTTTTTTTTTTTAAATAAATATTGTGGCGGACACTAGGACCATGCTTCTCACCCGGCCAGCAGGCATACAGTAGGGGGCGTGTTTATGTGAATGTCTACCAAAAATACTCACAAATAAAATATGAAATGTCGGGTTTGCTTTGGGCTCGGGCCTGCAAATCAAGCTAAGTGATCGGGCTCGGGCCGGGTCGGGCTTTAATACCCTCGGGCTCGGTCGGGTCGGGCTCGATTTTTTAGGACAGATCTTATCTCTAGTTTATAGTCGTTTCTTTTATTATCTTTGAATCACCTTGCAAACCAAAAATAGCTTTTTTTTCTTCAACTACAAACTGATCAACTGTTGATATTTAAATCAAGTTGATTGATTCAAAACAATTAACATTTCTCAAAGTCATTAACTTCCAAATCTCAGCATCGGCAAAATACATAGTACATTATTACATTCGAAAAAAATATCAAATTATCCCTGCATTTTTTCTTCAAGTTACATTCCATCACATGAAATTACATCACATTTAGTCTTTTATGTAAAATTACAAAACTGTCATCAAGTATAAAGTTATCATCTTAGAATAAGTGCAGATAAAATATAATGAAATCAATTAACTCCCAGGGAGTAAAGTAGTCAAATATTAAGTCCTCATTTCCATCACAAGTAAGTTAAAAATTGATGGAATTTAAAACTTGTTTTGTACGCTTAATCATAAGACGAGCAGCTTCGTTTTATTGTATTTTAATAAGATCAGTGGCCCTCAAATCTTTTTTTTTAAGTCCAATTCAAATGGATAGTTGACGAACATACTAGACACGCAGCGCGTTGTTTATTTCTTAATAAATTATGCTCCATACCTTTTTTTCCTCTTTAACGTTTGTGGTTGACGTTGCAACAACGATTTGTCTCGCATGGTGTCGGTATTATTTCAGATATCGTTCTCACATTGTGTCGTCAACGTGGTGACGTCGGCGCGTGTAACGCCGTTGCGCGGAACTGCATCTTTGTTCGCGCAGTCTCG